ATAATTTATACTGACAAAATATCGGGATATTACAATCCTCCCTCCTTACAAAATTTCTGTCCTCGGAAATTCAAAACATAACTGATAATACATGACTATGTACATAGAATAAAGAAATATGTACATCAAAACTGAAAATTTGGAAAACGAGCGCGAATATCGGACTCTTCCTCCCAAGTAGCTCCGTGGCGATCCCACTGAATACGCACGAGGGGAATATCTCGCTTCTGAAGCCGACGAACCTGACGGTCTAGTACAGCCACCGGTCGCTCCTCGTACGATAGATCTTGCTGAACCTGAATATCCGAATGAGGAATGACATGATCGGGGTCGCACACGTATTTACGCAACATAGATGCGTGGAAAACATTATGAATGCCTGATAACTCGGGAGGTAGGGCTAATCGATACGCGACCTCGCCTACTCGCTCGAGAACCTTGAACAGACCGATGAATCGAGGGTGCAGCTTCCCTCTCTTTCCGAATCGCACAACTCCGCGAATCGGACGAACTCTGAGAAAGGCTGGCTCGCCAACCTCGAACTGAATGTCTCGTCGATGATGATCGGCGGAAGATTTCTGTCGACTCTGAGCTGTCCTGAGTTTCTGCCGGATCAACTCGACCTGATCTGTTGTCTCCTCGATAAGCTTAGGACCGAGTACTCGTCGCTCTCTGGTGTCGTCCCAATAAGGAGGGGAACGACACTTGCGACCATAAAGTGCCTCGTAAGGAGCCATCTGAATAGAAGAATGGTAGCTGTTGTTATACGCGAACTCGGCGTACGGCAACAACGACTCCCACTTAGCACCCCTGTCAACAATCAAAGCGCGAAGCATATCCTCAAGCGTCTGAATAGTTCGCTCTGACTGACCATCTGTCTCCGGATGGTAGGCTGAACTGAACTCTAGCTTCGTGCCCATCGCCTCATGTAAACTGTGCCAGAATCGACTGACGAATCTGGGATCTCTGTCTGATATGATCGTAACGGGCACTCCGTGGAGTCGGATGATCCCACGGGTATATATCTCAGCCAATTTGTCCAGAGACATCTTCATCGAAACGGGTAAGAAATCCGCGACCTTAGTCAATCTGTCGACCACAACCCAGATAGCGTCGTGATGTTCAGATGACCTCGGCAATCCCGTAACGAAATCCATCGTAACTTCCTCCCACTTCTACCTCGGAATCGGCAGTGGCTGCAGGAGGCCGATCGGACTCTGATGTTCGGCTTTGACTTGCTGACAGGTAAGACATCTCCTGACGAACTCGGCTACGTCTTTCTTCATGCCTCGCCACCAGAACGACCCTTTCAGGTCGTGATACATCTTCGTGCTCCCGGGATGGGCCAGATAGGGTGCGGAATGAGCCTCTGATAAAATCTCCTTCCGCAACGCCTCGACCTTCGGGACCACGATCCTGCCCCTGAACTCTAGAGCACCATCGGCACCTAGCTGAAAACCCTCGACGCCTCCGGCGCGAACCTTGGCCTCCATGACACGAACAAACTCGTCAGAAGCCTGCTCACGCTGGATTCTCTCTCTCAGCGTCGGCTGAAGCTGCATAACACTGATACTGGCACTGGTACTTCCCGAAACGGCTATGGGAAGTGCATCAATCGCCTGAAGTTGCATCCGAGCAAACTCCTGAATCAACGGACTCTGCTGCGTAATGACGTACGTCAAGTCACCCCTCACCTTTCGGCTTAGGGCATCCGCGACGACGTTTGCCTTTCCCGGATGATACTGAATAGAGCAGTCGTAATCCTTGACAAGTTCGAGCCAACAGCGCTGCCTCATATTAAGCTCCTTCTGCGTGAAGATGTACTGCAGGCTCTTATGATCTGTGAAAATCTCGCAACGTCCGCCGTAAAGATAATGTCGCCAGATCTTGAGAGCATGAACGACTGCTGCTAACTCCAAGTCGTGCGTCTGATAGTTCTGTTCATGAGGTTTAAGCTGACGTGAAGCATACACAACGACCTGGACGTCCTGCATAAGGACACATCCCAAGCCCTGTCTCGAAGCATCGCTGAAGATAGTGAAACTCCGAGAAGGATCGGGAATAGTCAACACCGGTGCTGAAGTTAATCTCCTCTTGAGCTCCTGAAAGCTCGCCTCACAACGATCAGTCCACCCGAACTTCACAGACTTCCTCGTCAGCTGGGATAGAGGGAGGGCGATCTTGGAAAAGCCCTCGATGAACCTGCGATAGTAACCAGCTAGACCGAGAAAACTGCGAACCTCGGACGGACTCCTCAGTGTCGACCTGTTCTGAACGGCTGAGACCTTGGAAGGATCTACCTCGATACCTGCCTGAGTAATCACATGACCCAGAAAGGATACTCGCTGGAGCCAGAATTCGGATTTAGAGAATTTTGCAAACAACTTTTCTCGTCTGAGGGTTTCGAGAACCACCCTCAGATGCTCCTCGTGCTCCTTCTGGCTCTTCGAGTAAATAAGAATATCGTCAATAAAGACAATAACAAACTGATCGAGGTAGGGATGGAAAATACGGTTCATGAGGTCCATGAAAACAGCTGGCGCATTGCTGAGACCGAAAGGCATGACAACAAACTCGTAATGGCCGTAACGAGTCCTGAAAGCGGTCTTAGCGATATCTGACTCCTTAATCTTCAGCTGGTGGTAGCCTGATCGTAAATCAATCTTCGAAAACACACAGGCTCCCCTCAACTGATCAAATAAGTCGTCAATCCTGGGGAGCGGGTACTTGTTCTTGATCGTCAACTGGTTAAGATCCCGGTAGTCGATACACATGCGCATGGATCTGTCCTTCTTCTTGACAAAGAGAACGGGTGCTCCCCAAGGTGACACGCTCGGTCGGATGAAATCGAGTCGTAACAGCTCCTGAATCTGAGTCTTAAGCTCCTGTAACTCCTTAGGCGCCATAGGATACGGGGCTTTGGATACTGGACCGGCCCCTGGAATAAGATCGATAGAGAACTCCACCTGCCGGTTAGGCGGTCCTCCTGGAAGCTCGTCTGGGAACACGTCCACAAACTCGCGAACGATTGGAACATCATGAGGTGAGCGTGCTTTCTGAGAATCGTTGACAAGGCTCACCAGATAACCCTGGTAGTTGCCTCGTCGCAGTAGCTTAGTGGCTTTCGCCATCGAAACAACATGAGGCAGTGAACGATTCCTGGAGCCAAAGAAAGTGATCGACTCGTCTCCCGGAAGATAGAGAGTGATCTCCCGGTCATGACATCTGATATCTGGATGATAGAAGGATAGCCAATCCATTCCGAGAATAAGGTCGAAGTCCCTCATCTCGAGAACAAACGCGTCGGTAGACAATACTCGGCCACCGATGAAAAGGCTAAGATCTGAAGCTTTAGCTGAAGTCACTATCTTCCGTCCTGGGGCTAAACTCACCTCGAGAGGATCGACAGCGGTAACGGCGTGAACTCCGATGGCATCAAGACATCGTCGTGATATGAATGAATGCGTTGCTCGGGTATCGAACAAAGCGAAAACAGGAATATCATTAAGCACAACCATCCCTGACATAGTACCTGGCTGTTGTGCTACCTCTGCCTGATCAACCGTGTAAACCCTGGCCTACTGTCTGCCCCTCTGCTGCTGCTGCTGAGTCGGCCTCTGTGCCTGCTGACGTGGCTGCTGCTGCTGTGGTGCCTGCTGAGGCTGCTGGGGCTGCTGCTGAAGTCTCTTCGGACAGCGACTCGCAAAATGTCCCGGCTCGTGGCAGTAATAGCAAATGTCCTGTCCCACATGGCACTCTCTCCGATGAAGTTGTCCGCAAGTCGGGCACGGTGGAACCTGTTGTTGTCTCTGTCGGGTCCTCTGATCAGTCTGTGCACCCTTTCCCTTCCTCTTCTTCTCCTTTGCCGGCTGAGGAGCTGGTAGAGCTGGTGGAGCTGCGAATGGCTGAACTGGGGCGGATGGCTGGGCACGATCACGAACAGTCTCCCTCCTGATGCTAGCGTCCACCTCCTGGGCAATAGAAACTGCACCAGCGTAGGTCTGAGTCCCGTGTCCCACGATGTTATGACGGACTGCTGGGTAAAGCCCGTCAATGAACCACTGCGCTCTCTGAGCCTCCGTGCGAACCAGGTCCGGTACGAAAGCTGAAAGTCTAGTGAACTCTCGCTCGTACTCATCAACCATACGAGTGCCCTGCTGGAGCACTAAGAACTGATGCTCCATCTCTGCCCGATAGTAGGAAGGGTAGTACTTTTCGCGGACTAGCTCCTTGAGCATGTCCCATGTACAACCCGCTTTTTCACCTGGACGCATGCTCCAGTAGGCGTTCCACCAGAGCCTAGCATCACCAGTGAGCTGAAGCTGAGCGCAAACTACGCGATATCTATCGGGGCAGTCCATAACCTCAAAGATAAACTCCAAACCCTGAATCCATTCATCAACGATGCGGGGATCTCCCTGCCCTGAGAACTTTTCAGCGTGGTAGTCGCGGAACTGTGTTACTACAGTAGCCTGAGTAGGAGCCTGATGATCGGGTTCCCTACGTGGCGGCATCTGAACACTGAGAAAGTTTAACATTACTGAATACGTGATAACATTCTGACTGATTGCTAAGGCACACAAATCTCTTGACGAGTCGCCAAGAATGGCCGATAATTACTGACATGAATCCTGAAGAACTCTAGAGTTATATCGGAAGATACTAAAGTCTAGAGTCATATCTGAAAGTCCTGACGTCTAAAATCCGATCCTGATTCGAGCATCTTAACTAAAGTCCTGATCCTTAATTCTGAGCATAGACAAAGTAATATGTTTATAACTGAAAACATAAATCAGCACTTACCTGTCGTCGGCGGGGCGTGAGCATGACGGTTCAGGTTTTTCTGAAAAATTATTGACTGAGGACTTATCAGAGACGCAGAAACGTGCTCTGATACCAATTGTAACACCCCGCCTTATCGTAAAATCAGAGTGCGAAAATTTCGCAAAGTTATTTAAAAATAAAACCTTTTACTTTGCGAAAGCTGATTCGGGGTGTTACCTTAAAATCGTGACTTAATTTGGAAAACCGTTACTTAAATTTTAATAAAATCATACGGTTACTGAAAGCATAAAGTTTTCCAAAAGTCCGGTCAAAACATAAGTTCGTCAAAGTCATTAACAACGGAAACGTAAATCATCATATTATATATACAATCAAAACATGAATGTCCTGAAGCCTTCGTCTGCTCACGCTCCCTGCCCGACATCCTGACCTGAAAAACATGATAAAAATGGGAAATGAGCACTATGGCACTGTGCTCCGTGAAAACTCATACTAATGTAAACATTGAAAATAATAACAACATCATGATATCGG